ATGAAATAAAATAAACATTATCAAGTCATTAATACATAGAAAGTCTGAGAGACTCTTAATTTGTAGCCTTAAATGCATGTTAAGTTTCACCTTCAGAACCTGTGTCCTTGTCAACCTTGGAAACATCTCCAGAAGCCTGTTTATTTTATCCTCCATTTTATTGCCTTCATCGTCTGATATTGTGTGAATGGATAGTTTGTGTTTTGGATTTCTGTTAAAAAAACAAAAAAACATGAAGACTATGAATGAGTCACAGTTATAAATCAATACCAACAGATGGGTATTCAGGAGACACTTACACAAATCTCTTTTTTGAAGCAACTTTGATCTTAGGTGGTGACGGAACCTCATCCTCTGAGTCAACTCCTCTGTTCTTTGGTGGGGCCTTGTTGGATTTCATTTTTTCTGAAAATATTATTTTAGACGTTAATGGATTTACTGTAATTCTGGAAACAACTGATAATGGGAGAAAAAAACAGCTCCTGCAAAACATTTGAACAATTTCTTTGCTGATGCTCTGATATTAAGTGTCCTTCTGATGCTTTTCAATTGCTGGCAGGTGATATTGGAGAAAGTATTACCGTCTAAACCACATTACCAAAGAAACCACCAGGGCTATGATCACTAATATAGGATGTAAACAAAAAGAATTAGAAACAAACTGTGATGAACCCTGAAGATTCCCATTAATACATTTTATAGCCAACAAAACAATTACAGTATAACATCACAGTTATTGGTGATTCCAAGCCAGCCACGAGGGTACACGAAACCGTGTTTATAGTGCCGGTCCCAAGCCCGGATAAATGGTGAGGGTTGCGTCAGGAAGGGCATCCGGCGTAAAATGTTTAGCTAAATCAAATATGCAGATCAATAAAACGATTTCCATACCAGATCGGTCGAGGCCCGGGTTAACAACGACCGCCAACAGTGCCGTTGACCAACAAGGCACTGATGGAAATTGGATTACTGTTGGTCAGAGACAGAGAAGAAGAGGAGGGCGTTTGGTTAGGAGAAAAAGAGAAAAGATGAAGAATAGAAGTGTTAGTCTGAAGTTTGGAACTTTGAATGTAGGTACAATGACAGGGAAAAGTAGAGAAATAGCTGATGTGATGGAGAGAAGAAGAGTAGATATTTTGTGTGTGCAGGAGACCAGGTGGAAGGGCAGTAAGGCTAGAAACATTGGAGGAGGCTACAAACTGTTTTATCATGGTTCAGATGGGAAGAGAAATGGAGTAGGGGTGATCCTAAAGGAAGAATATGTAAGAAATGTGGTAGAGGTGAAAAGAGAGTCAGACAGGTTGATGTGTGTGAAGGTAGAAGTAGAAGGAGAGATGATTAATGTTGTTAGTGGTTATGCCCCACAGGTGGGCTGTGAGTTGGAAGAAAAGGAGAAGTTCTGGAAGGAGCTAGATTGGATGGTAGAGAGTATCCCCAGGAGAGAGAGAGTGGTGATTGGAGCAGACCTAAATGGTCATGTAGGGGAAGGGAACAGAGGAGATGAGGAAGTGATAGGCAGGTTTGGTGTTAGGGAGAGAAACGTAGAAGGACAGGCAGTGGTAGATTTTGCAAAGAGAATGGAAATGGCTGTGGTAAACACATATTTCCAAAAGAAAGAGGAACATAGGGTGACTTACAAGAGTGGAGGCAGGTCCACACAGATAGATTATATTCTATGTAGAAGATGTAATCTGAGGGAGATTAGAGACTGTAAGGTGGTGGCAGGTGAGAGTGTAGCCAAACAACATCGGATGGTAGTGTGTAAAATGACGATGGAGGTGACAAAAAGGAAGAGAGTGAAGACAGAGCAGAAGATCAAGTGGTGGAAACTAAGGAAAGAGACATGTTGTGAAGACTTCAGGAAGGAAGTAAGGGCAGTTCTGGGTAGTGTTGAGATATTCCCAGATGATTGGGAGACTACAGCTGCAGTGATGAGGGAGACAGGTAGGAAGGTGCTAGGTATGTCCTCTGGGCAGAGAAAGGAGGACAAAGAGACCTGGTGGTGGAATGAGGAGATCCAGGAGAGTGTGCAGAGAAAGAGATTAGCGAAGAAGAGATGGGACAGTGACAGAACAGAAGAGAACAGACTGGAGTACAAAGAGAGGACAAGGGAGGTGAAGAGGGAAGTGGCCAAGGCCAAACAAAAGGCATATGAGGAGTTGTATGAGAGTTTGGAAACAAAGGAAGGAGAAAAGGAGTTGTATAGATTGGCGAGACAGAGAAATCAAGCTGGGAAGGATGTGCAGCAGGTGAGGTTGATTAAGGACAGAGAGGGGAATGTGATCACAAGTGAGGAAAGTGTGCTGAGAAGATGGAAGGAATACTTTGAGGAGTTGTTAAATGAGGAAAATGAAAGGGAAAGTAGAAACGAGGAGCCAGAGACTAGTAGGAAGAAGGTAGATCAGGTTAGAAAGGATGAAGTTAGAAAAGCCCTGAAGAGGATGAAGAGTGGAAAGTCAGTTGGTCCTGATGACATACCAGTGGAAGTATGGAAGTGTTTAGGAGAAGTGGCAGTAAATTTCCTGACTGGTTTGTTTAACAGAATTTTAGAGACTGGCAAGATGCCTGATGAGTGGAGAAAAAGTGTTCTGGTGCCAATTCATAAGAAGGGTGATGCACAGAGTTGTAACAACTACAGAGGGATAAAGTTGATGAGCCATACAATGAAGATTTGGGAACGAGTAGTTGAAGCTAGGTTGAGGCAGGAAGTGGAGATTTGTGAACAACAGTATGGTTTCATGCCTAGGAAGAGTACCACAGATGCAATATTTGCCTTGAGGATGTTGATGGAGAAGTACAGGGAAGGTCAGAAGGAGCTGCATTGTGTATTTGTAGATCTAGACTACTGAACTACTAATCTGTCCAGGGTACACTGAAATCTCAAGACAATCAGGGCATTCCGGAGCGAAATGTGCTGGCTAGTGTCAGAACGCTTGGTCTCAGTCGGTCATGGGTCCTCCAACAGGATAATGACCCAAAACACACAGCTAAAAACACCCAAGAATGGCTAAGAACAAAACATTGGACTATTCTGAAGTGGCCTTCTATGAGCCCTGATCTAAATCCTATTGAACATTTGTGGAAGGAGCTGAAACATGCAGTCTGGAGAAGACACCCTTTGTTGGAAGAATTTGATTTATTATCATTGCTTCGTGCTGTACTGTCACTTTAAGAAACTGTTTGCTTCTCATATTATAATCTAGTGTGCTCAAGACTGATGGAGAAATTACCAGACACAGTCACACCCCCATTCACACCCACCTTCTTACTCCATACCCATTCATATACTCACTCACACGATCACATAATATGTAATCTGACTTTTATAAACTCAATAAAAGTGCAGAGGAAGGGTGTGGCTACTCGGAGTTGATGAGGAAACTGCCAGAAGAGTAAGCTGCACTCTCCCCTTGCAAGTAAAAAATCAAGATGTCTTTTGTGTTGTTACTTTGTCATCATATATGTTAGAATAAACTTGACACCCTTCAAACCTAAGACAGTTGGAGCAGTTTGCTCACGAGGAGTTGGCCAAAATACCTGTCGACAAGTGCAGAAGTCTAATTGAGTTACAGAAATCGCATGATTGATTGCCTCAAAGGGTTGTGCAACAAAATATTAAGTTAAGAGTACCATCATTTATGTCCAGGCCGGTTTCATTATTTTGTTTTTTTAAAATGATTCTGTTGAACCACAATTCAAAAGGAATGTCTGATTTTCATTAGTTAATTTTCAGTACATTCTTATTTATTCCTACTTACAGAAGGTACAGAAGGGTACCAACAAATGTCCATGTCTGTATATTATATATATATTGTTTTTTAGTTTGCTTGATATTTACCATGTCTATATTCTTTATTTTGCTTTGCTAATGTTGCACTGTGGGGCTTCGGGGTTGCAATTTAAGTCATCTGTATGCCCCAGCTACAGTATATGGTGGAATTGACAATAAAGCTGACACTTTTGCACTTAACAACTACAAAAGCAGTGATGGAATTTAAGTGATCCGCCTGTGGCCATTAAACAGTATATTATGTTTTTCGAACGCCAACACTACACTCAAAGATGTACACCAACCCGCCAGAACAGACCCCTAAATCAAGAGCTGTAACATGATGGAGATCATTATATTACATCAACACTACATACAATACAGGGACTTTAAATTACTGAAAATTGAGTTCCATGATTAAATGACCACAGTTGCGACACACAGAGGTGCTACATGTTAATAATAAGCACTGTCACATTTGCCTTCAGTCATGGTAGGCAGTTCCGACATCGGGTAATACCTGGTCTGTTCTCCTTCTCGGACTCCGGACTCTTGAAACCGTTGCCCTGCTCTTTGTTTGCTGACGTCGTCACATTTTTGTCGAAACGAAACCGGTCTAAATTGAAGACACTCATTTTCTCTTCAGTGTCTGACAGCAGTAACCTCTTTGTCTATCTCTACTCACCAGTGTTGTCTCTGCTCGCATGAAGCGGTGCTACTGTTAGCCAATGTGGAAGCCCAGCTAAAGAAGCTGTGTTAGCATAGCAGCGCGAGTAGAAAGCAGAGGTACGGTAAAAGACGGTGCTTTTGTCGTGTGCTTACGCCGTTTGAAACCTCAACAGGTTGCTACGAATCAATGTGAAAAAAAAAGTTATACCATGTCAGAGTTAGGAATGATCTACAAGTCTAATGGTGCTCAAAGCACTCAGACATACGGTCCATTTCCCGCGAACTCCAGCGAGCCAAGAGGATGGAGCGACGTCTCGGCTCATTGCTCAAGACCAGCTGCGTTGTGGCGAGAACGCTGACGATACAGGATAGTACACTGCACCGTACATCCGCTTCCGCCGAACTCATTACAACTGTTCATTTGAACAGGTGATTGCTTTACAGTTTTAGATGGAAATGTATAGATAGTTATGTAGAAAGATATATCTAAATCCCGACTTCTTTACAAAAACAAATCAGGGATTTATAATTATACGCATATTACAAGGGACATGAAAAAAAAACGTTTCAGGTGTGCACGCGAAACGTTCTGTTACCTGAAAGGGATACAACGCTTTGGATTGTGTTGTTAATTTAATTGAATAACTGCTGCAAACGTCTGTCCAGCTCTGTGGGTACAAATGGATGTACACAAAATGCAAAGAGAGTAGACGCCACAACTTCAGAACAAGCGTCAATGTATATCTTTAAGGTAGTCATACATGGTTATATCACAAGAGGGCAGCAAATATTGCAAATGGGACAAGACCACAGTTTATTTAACAGCCTTAAAAAATAAATGAAAAGTTTGATTTGAGAAATGGTAGCTTAATAGAAAACAATTAAACGTGATTATGTTATTTATACGGAGAGAACAACAATACATTATTTTAATTTTAAATTAATTAGGTAAAATATGTTTTATCTGTTTCACCATTATTGAAAGTTTTTTTTTTTGACTGCAGAACACAAACAACACACTGCGTGTTATTCATTCTGTACACTCTCTCACACAATATTTCTTTATTTCTCTCCGTCTATAACTTTCATGGAAATTATTCAACTTTGTTTTAACATTTTGAGTCACTTTTTTCAGTGTTATCTCAACAAAATCTTGGAATCTTTATCTTTGAAATAAACTACCTGCACCAGTCCTGCATTTGGGTACTGCCTGCTTCCTGCCATGTCGATGGCTCATCGTGACAATTTACATGCATTTTGAAGGAGCAGGCAATTCTATATGGAGCTTGACTTTTTGTTATGAGTTAAATGTGTATGTCATCTTTACTATCTGCTGTCTTATCACTTATTTAACCCTCAATCCACTCCTGTTGTGTTACTTTGTTTAGACATCACTCATATGAGGTCTTTCTGGCTCTCTGCAGGCCAAAAGAAACAGCAGCGGGGGAGAATTCCCATGCTGTTGAAGGTGATGCCGGAGAGCAGCCAAGACAATGCACCAGTCACAGAGAGACAGTGAGTGATCCTCCTGGCTGCTTTACAGAACATTGGTGAAACTGAGCATTGTTGATGCAAAATTCCAGTCTATTGTCCTCCTACTTAAAAAAAATATTCCATCCATATCACGACTGTGACACTTTGACTCGCTCCACAGCAGCTCTATTGTTTCATAATGTTGAAAGCACTTATCAATGGACAATGATGATTAGGGAATACAAATAAAATAATAATACAAATAAAAACACATTAACAACCAAACAATATATTTTGTATGATGTCCAACTTAAACCTGACAATTGTACTACAGTGTCATAAACAGCACCAATAAGATGCTGCTGTTTATGATCCCAGCCACTGTCACATCATCACCAGTGTTTTAATTAAAACCAGAAAGACAAGGGGACAATGACCGATCCCCAGGCTGCCTAAATGAACATTGTTAAGACCGACCGACCCAATTATGACCCAGTCATTTAGTTGTATAGTGCTATGAGCTAAGTTCCCTTGTTGGGAATTTAAGTGGTTTATTAAAATGTAGTTAAAGCTGCTCAGCAGTGGGTGCCTAATGTAGTGTGCTTCATGTAATTATGCTCACAGTAAAAGCATTCAAAGTGACAAATGCTTTCGAGCATTTCTCAGCATTTTAAAAACCATTTGAGATCTCAGCGTATATTTGTACTTGTTACCATGACACCATTTGAAATACTACTGCAGTTTTTGAGAGTAACTGAATAAACCATTAAGCCCAGGAGTCACAGTGACTTCAGTGATATTTTGCATTACACAGAAGTAAGTAAGAACAAATTCCGGTATTTTCCGGACCGTACGTCGCTCCGGCATATCAGTCGCACCAGTGCCCTCTAGCGGCTGTCAGTGTGAAAATACCGCACATTTGAAATAATTAGTATTTAGTAATTAGTAATTAGTATTTGAATACATAAGTCTATCATTTTAATTTTAATATATAACCCAGCCAAAGGATGAAAAAAATATAACCTTAAAAAATTTAAAAACAATTTCGAATAATTTTGATATAATTTTCTCAGTGGTCTCACAGAAAACATATGGTCCAGAGAGAGAGAGATAGGATACACTTTGTGTCAAAAAGATTGATGACCCCCCATACCCCCACCCTTTGACAACCCCCCCTTCAAGAACTAGGTGAAAGGTTACCCCCCTC